ATTCTCCTGCCTCTGCCTCCCAAGTAGCTGGTACCACAGGCACCAGCCACAACACCTGGCTATTTTTTGGTTGCAGCCGTCATTGTTGTTTGGCAGACCCAGGCTGGATTTGAACCCGCCAGCTCCGGTATATGTGGCTGGCGCCTTGGCCACTTGAGCCACAGGCGCAGAGCTGAGACTCTGTCTTTTGACCAAAACTTTGGTCAGCCTTCTGAGTCTTCTTTGACCAGGCTCGACTTTGAATTTCTCTATCTTCTACAATCCAGTTTAAGAAAGAGTCTTGCTGATGCCAGAATTTCTTCCTCAGTAGGTCCTTGGTCTCTCGGATTCAAAGAGTGAAACCATGGACCACAGATCAGTGGTAAGACAGGATTTTATTAGACAGAAAGGAAGACTGAGGCAATAAAAAAGCACCAGAGCTGCTGGCAAAGGGGAAGACCTGAGTCGGAAATCTCTCATATGGGCCCTCTGTCTAGGGGTGTATTTTGTCTGGAGAATTACATTTGGGCTAGGATTTGGTAGGTGGAAAAATATCTTTTCAAAATTGAATGCAGTCCCTCCCCTGGGGCAAGGTCTTTAGGTCTTTGCAGTTTTTCAGGAAGGGGTTACAGTGTGTGTGCTCCCCACTCAAAGTGGAACCACTCCCCAAAACTCTCAAGCTGCTTTTGTTCCTCATCTTGTTAGAGTCCAGAGGGTGTAGTCTGGAAAAGGCAGCCTGTTTGAGCCTGTTTTGTGGGTCTGATTTCTGAGCTCACCTGGGCCTAGAGAATGGGGGAGTCCCTGTCCATCCCTAAGTAGGGGAATCCTGTATCATTGCTAAGTCAGTTTAGAGAAAGTCCCCCATCCGTGGCATCTGACCACCCTCTCATCTTACTTCGTTCACCCGGGCCTGCCTGCAGCAAGCCTCCTACCAGACCCCTTATCCCTGATGTCTCTATCTTAGTCATTTTTTTTTTTTTTTTGAGACAGAGCCTCAAGCTGTCACCCTGGGTAGAGTGCTGTGATAGCACAGCTCATAGCAACCTCCAACTCCTGGGCTCAAGTGATTCTCCTGCCTCTGCCTCCCAAGTAGTTGGGACTACAGGCGCCCACCACAACACCTGGCCATTTTTTGGTTGCAGCCAT